TTCGAGCCTATACAGCTTGGAGTAAGACAACATGCATGAAGAGGATGATGTGGACAAAATACTCATTTGCCTAATAATTCTGCACTCCCTGTATAAAGACTTAGTGTAGCTGTTCACCTCAGTCAGATCAGAATATTTTATTAACCCCAGGAGAAAATAGTTTTGTTGTAGATGCTCAATTAAAATACAAGTATGAAAGATGGAGCATGTAAATCTTCTATATAAATAATAAGGCCCTCAAAGAGTAATGTTGAATAAAATATTACAAAGTAAGTGATGCATGTACAAGAAAGAAGTAAACAAGATATTGTAAACAAGATATTACAAGTGAATATAATCCCGGAGGAGTTGTAAAGATTAAACCCACAGATAGACCCATAAAGAGTTTAATTTCCACAGGTAGGAATGATTTGGCATTCTGTGGTGCATCGTGTTCAAAGGGCTTACTTGAGTCAGAAGATAAAAAGAACTAAGGGGCATAAGATAAGAGAAAATATTAGATGTACCATAAGGTGAGGATGATTTTGAGCCGTGATTCATGCAAACATGCTCTAGTAGTAGAACATGTAATCAGTAAAAGAAACCGTTTATGTCTTTCCCCCCCATAAAGACAACATTAATGACAGAGTTTTGACACCTCAGTATATATAAATAAAGTTCTGGTTTGATGACTACCAGTATGTTAGTTTATGAGTTTTTCCAAGGGCAGCTACATAGTCAAAGATCACCCTCACTAACATCTGATGCACACCAAGTCATTTTGTTCTATAAGAAGGCCTGAAATATGACAGAAAAGAGCTTCAAGGCTTACTCCTAGTCTGCTTTCATTGAGTAAGAAGAAGTAAAGGGGTTGTTACATGGAAACAAGAAAGCAAATAAAAAAATAATTTCAGTCTGAAGAAAGTTAATGGGGGATGACTTAAAACAATTTGTTTTAGAGGTTGAACTGTAGGGCTGTACAAAGGATCAGCATAGAGTAATTAAGAATTCAAATCAATATTTATTTATATAGCACATATTAAAACAACAGTGTTGACCATAGTGCTTCACAGTCAGTAAAAACATGAGACAATTAAAACAAACAATAAAACAGGACGACAAACAATAGGTAACAACACAATAAGCTAGAACAGTCAACTAGTTAGAATCAAAGGCCAAAGTAAAAAGATAAGTTTTAAGACGTGATTTAAAAGACTGAATAGACTCGGCAGTACGAATATGAACAGGGAGGTAATTATAACTTTGAGTACATAAAATAAGTCTAATAGACCCCAGGAATAAAAACACGGAGCTGGAAATTAACAGATATTTTCCACTGTGGCTCTCAATTACAACTAATATATTATAGAATATTGTGCAATGCTTTATCAGACTGTTAGATCTTTTGTGTGAAAACAGACTGTATTTTAATCTTGTCTTGACTGTTCCCAACCCTGATTCTTTTCTGAATGCACAGCCTGGCTCACCTTCAGCTGTGAGTCATTTCATTTCCATTGTGTTGTCTCTGATGTTTCATAAGCTGGTTCCGCTGGATAGGCTTAAGGCCACGATGGAACTTTTTGTGGAGGAACGGACAGAAGCTAATATGGTAAACAGTGGAAGTTGGCTTGTGTGCCTTTATATACTAAACGATATATAACAAAAAACTGAAAGGAAACAAAAGAAAGAATTAAGTAAATTCATGCAAATAGTGACTAAGTGTGAATGCTTTCTGTTATTACTGTATGTTTAAATATTATTTATAGTCCTTTAAAGGTACTCATTGTATTCAGAATAAGTTAAATTTAGAAGAATTTCCACCAGCAGGGGTGGTGTTTTACTTTCTGGTAAAAGACCACTCCTGCTAGTGGAAATTGTCCACCCATGTAATAAGAAAAGGCAGTATTTAGCCTGACACATATTCTGTTTAACAGACAAAAGCTACAACCTATTGATCCTTCAATACATAGATATATACATCTGTAGATTGATGTAGTGATCTGTTGATAGAGAGATCTATAACTATCAGGTGATAAGAAGCCAGCTGAATGGTAGAAAAAGATCCAAGCCAATGCATTCACCCTGTCGGTCATTAGAGATACCCAGCTGGAATAATAAGCTGGTCACAGGAGGAGATAGATGCCACCGAGGTCTTCACATGTATTCTAGCACCCTAAGGCTCTATGAGCAACAGAAAGAGGGAGGGTGAGGGTTAAGGAGTGTCAGAGCCACAATCCAAGATGAAACACGGAGCATCTGCGAATACATCCCTCTGAATGGGATGTTCCATTGACAGAGAGAGGAAGTGGCAGACATCAAGAAATCCTACCAGTGGCCAGAAATGGGCGGACTAAAGAAAAGGATAGAGGTTTTTTATCATGGCAGCACAAGAACAGGCACTAAGCATCAGATCAATAGAGGCAGGACTCTATTACAGCTGACAGGTTCTAGACTGCAAAGGTGCCATGGAACTGATCAACACAGAGCAGCAGGATGCAAGGTGCAAGCTGAGACCGCAAACACCGAGGCACAACCAGTTGGCTAGAATCTGGAACATCTGTACCACATATGGACAAGAAGTCCCCAAGTCCAGATGGGAGACACCACTAAAGGTGGTTGAGAACAGTGGAGCTAAGGTCCTGTGGGACTTCCAGTTCAGGACAGACTAGCAGGCGCTGGCACAGTGGGGTTTGACAAGGAGCAGCACCATCTTGTGGTAAAAGTTGGTCTTGCATGAAAGTATGGTTTGGTCCTATTTTAACTTAAGCTGTTTATTTTCTCATTACAACACAGGCAAGCTTTTTAAATACTCTGTTGACAGCCTTAGTTGAAGGTTTGAATATACAAGGAGTACTTTTAAAATGTGTTTTAGCTTTTACTTTTTTAGGTACACAAATGTGCAAGTGAAAGTGTTTTGATGTTGGGTATGCTGTTTTTTTTTTATTTCTTCCAGTGGACAGCTGTACTGATCGGAGCAGTGATGGTGATGTCTGTCGTTGGAGTTGTTGTGTTCCTCCTTTACAGACGATACAAACTATCAAGTCAGTTCTCTGCAGGCTGCACACCCCAAACCCATGCTGTTTCAGTGTATCTAAAAATATTCAGTGATGAACAAGTTGCAGAGCTCAGAGTCATAAACCTTATAGTTTAAGTATAAGAGTTTTCTAGTCTACCATTGATATGACTGTTTTAGCTGATGTTTGTTGTTAAAGTATTACTGCAGGGTGAGGTTTAAATGCAAAAATAGCTTATAAAACGTTTTGAATGTAAACTATTAGATACTAAATACTATTTGTACTACTATTTCTGTCTTGGTTAGTTACATTAAACAGGTGCAACTGAAACAAAGAGGTGGACAAACTGTCCATAGGTTAATGTAATTCAAGTCAATGATGGTATGTCTTCAGCCCTGATTTAAAATACATAAATAACTTAATTAAACAGAGTTGCTGTAAAAATGTGACAGTAAGGTGACCTTTAGCAGATAGCCTGAGACTATTGGACAGTGCTTATTGAAGGAGCAGTGTTTTATAAATCAACAGTTACATTGCAGAGTTAGATTTCCTGCTCTGTGCTGAGCACAGACAGATCTTACAGAGGTTTTGTGGTTCTTTTAGAGGAGGAGGCTGGGGTCCCCCACTACCGTTTTAGGAAGCGAGACAAAGTGATGTTCTACGGCCGAAAGATCATGAGAAAGGTAAGTTATTTCTTGATGCACACTTTGAGGGCACCATCACCCCCAGCAGGCGCCCTTCTGTTGTGTGTGTTTTATAAACCATGTGTCCACAGTCTTTGTTGTCTGTTATCATATTTTGTTTTCCTTTTATTAATCAAGCTAAAGATGATGGCAAGGAACAAACTTATTCAGGAATCTTGATGACTCATTTGAATGCTATTTTTGTATACTTCACTGCATGATCACTAATAGTTTGCAGAAGTCTTTACTGAGTGACAAATGTTAGCTGAGGTTGCACTGACCATTTTTTGAGTAATTGATGATACTTAAAAAAACTGAAAATTTTACAGAGAAAAACAAAACCTCAATGCAGGTCTGCAACGTCATGTATATGCTGTACAAGTTACAGAGAACCTCAATCTCTTATAAGCAATCATTTAGTGAAACAGAAGAGACCTTGGGCAAAACCATACACTGTATATAAAAGATGGACATAGCCACCATTATGTTACTTATCCAATTCAGGACTCTGCATTTCAAGGCCTCACCATTAGTGTTTTGGCCACCATAGTGTGAGGCTTTTCAGAGCTAAAAGTGACTGTAATTGTACAAGAGCGTGGAGCACTAACTTATCAGCTAACATGTGTATTCCAAAAATACCCGAAGTTCACTCACTAAAACTGAAGCACAAACTTGCTGAGTCGTCTGTAGGCACCAACAGGACAAACAGAGTCAAGATGTTCAGTTTAGTGACTCAGGCTCTGCTAGTTACTAAAGCATTTTAACACAAGGGTTTATGGGGAATAGTCATAGACAGGGGAACAGACAGTATAGTCAACCAGTCATCCATTGGTTTGTCATATTCAGTTTTGAATCCTGGGAGTAAGAGTTTTTGCTGTCACCATCTTGCTGTCTTGAAATTTAACCCTTTAAAACCGGTCAGAGCGTGTCCGCATCGTTTTGCGTAACTATTTTTAAATCCACATAGAACCAGAACCACGTAAGTTAGCACAATGATTTTTTTTTGGCATATGAAACTGTAGTAGTTGTACTTACATCTTATGCCATCAGCTTGCCCTAGGTCACGGTTTCCTTCCACATATAGCTTTTGTAAAATATACTTTACAGTATATAAAAATTGGTGTATCTCAAAAATAGAACTATGAAGACACTCAAAATAAATTTCCTGTGATGGGAAACTATTTTGTGTAACTTTTTTGTATTTACAGTTTTGAGGGATAAACCTCTTAAATTTCTCTAACTAGAAATATATGGGGGAAAAAACAAAAACGATTTTCAATCTTTTTGTACTTTATTGCACTTTTTTGCAATTTATGTAGTTACTATGGACTTAATGCATACATATTATTAAAATTTGGGCTATAACGGTTATATTGATGTATAGCAACTTGAAATGCTCCCAAAAATGGCACTACAGCATGTAAAAATATAAAGATAAGCTCTGGTGGACTTGGTTCTATGGTAGGTCTTATACGGTTAATGTAATTAGTGAGTGGCAGATCTGACTGTGGATCCACCCACTCATTTGATAATGACTTGTCCTGAGCATTTCCTGGATAACTATCCTTCTGGCACTGAGTTTACTTGATTTTTCACTCATTGTGACCCAAAATGAGTCACTGACACCATAAACGTGGTTGGAAAAAGAGGCATTTTTCCGCATCTTTCTTTAGGACCAGAAGTGTTTTTGCAGCCACAATTACTGAGGCCTTTGAAAATAATGCAGTCTTGCTGTGTACATCTTTTAAACTGTCCATGGGAATTAATTTCTTTTGAAGGTTAGGAAAAAGTTTAGGAACTGTAGTTTTTGGCACTTTTGCATCAGTTTTATTTATTTCTTTAGCTTGGAAGTTGCCACTTTGGCAAAACCTTGCTAGGAAAAATTCCAGTTTCCTACAATCCCGTTGGGGGATGAGAGGGAAGACGAAGGGAGAAAAGAGAAGCAAACACAAACTACAAGCGAGAGAAGACAAAAGTCAGTGACAAGCAATAATGGCTTATAAATGCTGAAAAAATTAGTGTGCTGGAATTTAGCTGGTGCTAACAGCCTTGTCATTAGGCATGGCTGCTAGAGAGAATCATATACCTTACAGTATCTATATCTATCTATACTGGCACGTGTATTATCATCAGAATGCCTTCTGTGTAGCATCATGTTTCTCTTTCTTGCTGTTGCAGGTTCAGACACTTTCCTCGGTGCCTGCTTCCAACTCAAACTCAGCCGTGCGGCAGCGAGTGAGGAAGAGGACTAAAGTTCTTTCTATAGCTCGCAAGTGAGCCCCTGTATAAACAGAAGAAGAAACATAGTGTAAAAAAAAAAGCAAAAGAGCAACAAAGTGTGATAAGTGTGTCTGTTTTAGGATCCTGCGCATTCGTAGGGAGCCCCCGACCCTGCAGCCCAAGGAGCCTCCTCCCTGCCTGCTGGAGGCTGACCTCACTGAGTTTGACGTGCAGAACTCCCATTTACCCTCTGAAGTGCTGTACATGCTGAAAAATGTCAGGTCAGTACTCTTGATACATAATGGGCCTCATTCAGCACCAAACTCAGAAAGTAAAGTGATTCACAGAGTGCTAATGAGTGTTAATGTCAAATTAATAATTTGAATAATTCACTCAATTTTTATATTTATATTTCAATGGGTGAGCCTGGTGTCCATGCATTTCCGTCTTGGGGACCTTCAAATGCAACTTAGTGTTATCTGTAAACCAGAAAAGAATGACTAGGTCATTGTAAGGATTCATCTGTGGTTTCGCAATCAGTATTAGGCATATTCCTTCTTTGATATGTAGCATGATTATTCCAGCTAGCAGTAACAGAACTATGCCGTGCACACACAGGGTGCTCGGGCACTTCGAGAAACCTCTGTTTTTGGAGCTGTGTCGTCACATGGTGCTGATCCAGCTGCACCAAGGAGAGGGACTCTTCCGACCCGGTGACACTGATGACAGCATTTACGTGGTTCAAGATGGCCGCCTGGAGCTGTGCGTCCACGAGAATGTAAGCACCCGTGCAGCTTCATACAGTTAAATGAGCTGAATATAAAGGGCTAGTATTGATTCGGGGGGCACATTCTTTTTGATTATTAACACTCCAGATGAGTACCAGTGCTTCTTTCTGTTAGGTCAAAATGATTGATCACGCCAGCTTGAAAAAAAGGAATTCAATTGAATGGAATATTTTCTTTCTCTCTTTGTAAAGCCTAGAGATGGTTGTGCTGGAAACTACCAGTAGATCAGCAGTTTCTGAAATCGTCAGACCAGCCCATCTATCACCAACAACCATGCCATGTTCAAAGTTATTTAAATCACCTTCCTTCCCCATTCTGTTGCTCAGCTTCACCAGGATGTCTTGATCTATGTGACTGGCTCGGTTCTTGTGTGCTGTTTTTCTGTTCTGATGTTCTGTTCTCACTGTGTTTATTACTGCAGGATGGCACCGATGCCGTAGTGAAGGAGGTGTTACCTGGAGACAGTGTTCACAGTTTGCTCAGCATCCTGGACATCATCACTGTATGTGTGCGGTCCCTCTCTCTCTTCATATATCTCTCACTGCACTGCTAATTGAGGAATTCTTTTTGCATTTTCTGTATTAGCGATTTCTTGGTTTCATAAAGCATTTTACTGCGAAACATCTCCTCTGATCTGCATCATTTAATTTTCAGGGTTACCCAGCACCTTATAAAACAGTATCTGCGAGAGCTGCAGTTCCCTCAGCTGTCCTGCGTCTTCCAGCTGCAGCTTTTCAGTCAGTGTTTGAGAAGTATCCAGAAACTCTGGTTCGTGTCATCCAGGTAAAGTGTCCACAGAAAAAAATGAATCATATTATTTATTAGCTGGGCTGCAAATACTGTATGTATGCTCTCCACGAGTAAATAGCATTCAGCAAAGCACAGGGCGATGATTAAACTGAATCCACCCTGTACAGCTAAAAAAAACAAACACATTTTCTCTGTCACCTTTCCTTCTTGTCCTGTAGATCATAATGGTGCGGCTTCAGAGAGTGACGTTTCTTGCCTTACACAACTACCTTGGCCTTACCACTGAGCTCTTCAACCCGGTAGTGCTCTTTCATTTACCAGTACTCCAGACTGTAACCTGTGACATGAATAGTGCAAAACTGTTTTTGATTGGATAATTTCTCCTCGCACTCTTGTGTTGTTGCCTTCTTTTATTAACTCATCATTTTTTCCAGTTATGAAACACTGTCTCAAAACAGAGAGTAGTGCTTATATATAAAGACACTGAGTAAATTCTGTCTGGTGATCCGCAAACAGGTCGTTTGGTAGGACTGGTACTGTACAGTACTACCATTGGTAAAGACAAAAGTCCACAGGACACATTTAACCAAGTAATCTTGCTAACAGAAGTACTTTGTGCTTTCTGCTCTTGTCATGTGAGCCTTATCTTTGTTTCTGCCATTCTTTTCTGTTGCAAAAGCTTTTTATGTTTGTTTTTTCAAAGTGTTTTCTTCAGAGCACATATTTAGTTGTCCTGCAAGGTGTGAGTTATCATTGATAGTGACAAGTACCCTAATGATATCAGCATATAACAATTGTTCTCCATAATCTCAAGAGACCCCTGATTTTTCTTCGAGGCTGCTAAGTTACCGACCTAGAGTTTAGATTTTGGGAATACTATCAGAATATCTGAATTTTGACTTTTTAAAAAAAAAATTTTTTTACCCTAGACCTATGTCTTCATCCAAAACATAGGGGTGGTTTTAAGGTTGGTTGGTCAGCTGCAGACTCCTAGAGGTAGCCTAATCTGTAGTATTAGAAACATGGTTTTGGGCTTTTGAAAAGTTTTTTTCTCAAAGTCAGAGTTTAAGTTTGATTCTTACTAATATTGATTTAAGATTTCAGATCATTTAAGAAAATTCTTGCATTAAAAGGTGACTTTGTTGATTAACTTGTGTTTATCAGGAGAGCCAAGCGATCTCCTTGGTGTCTGTGGCAAACGTTCTGTGTGAGACTCATCCACACAAAGGTTTCCGCAGGCAGCAGTCTCACTCTGATGATCTGGGCTCTGAAAAAGCTGACACGGGTCAGAAATAACAGCATTTTCTCAATATGTTCACTATGAGACGTAAGCGATGTGCATCAAGTAAAACTGCTCATGTTATCTGTTTTTTGATGTAGCAGAAAAGTCCAGCCTCTCTTCCATGTCCACATCAAAAACCAAGAGATCCCGCTCCCTCTCCAACCCGATTACTGTTACAGGTATACATACATGCAGTGTCACTGTACACACACATATATGTATACTTCTAAAAAAGTAAGGGAATTGTTGGCTTTTTTGACAGTGCCATGATAAGCGTTTATTGTTTTGCATATTTGTCAAATTTAAACATTTCAGGTCATCAAACAAATGTTAATATTAGACATATCTATCGATTGATCGATAGATAGATAATACAAATACAGGTAAATACAAAATGATCATATACTGTATACAGTGCTGCTGACTTTAACTGAGGATACAGTCAGGAGAATACTTTAAGGCTCTCCTTAATTTGGGTTTCAGTCAGTTTGGGTTTAAACCAGTCTCTGTTCAAACTTGTGGCTTAACCTCGTAGGACCTTCACATATGTGGACATCACATTTTGGGTTATTTAGACTAAAATACTCTTGCTCTACAAGGGCCTGATATCCACTTACGAAGACATTATACTGCTACTGTTCTATCGAAATTTTAAACAATTTGTGTTTTGCAGGGGAAATGTCACCTGACTTCAACAGTACATACGTTCCAGGTGCCAAAGAGGAGACGGTGCCTCATAGTCCTGTCAAGGTCTCTGCATAGAAACTATCTTTGTTACACTTTCAGGGAATTGCTGGTTTATGTTGAACATTGGGCATACAGGGCATCTAACTGTGCACCCATCACACCATATATGCACATACACAGTTACTAGAATGAGTGTGGATCTCACACACATTGTGTTTTTTTGTCTTTACCTCCTCAGTCTATTCTAAAGAAGAGTGTGACAGTGCAGCAAACTCCATCTGCTGTGTACCATTACAGTGATGCAGGAGGAGGAAGTGTCTACCATAATAAAGTCAATGCCATTTTCCAAGCTGCTAAAAAGGATTTGCTGCAGGTCATCCAATTACAGGTAGCTTACAATGAAAAGGATACATTACTACACCAAAGGTCAACTGAAAACAAATGAGGAGATCGTGTTTTTAGCAACAGTAAAATTCAAAAATATAAACTTTATTAATCCCACAGTGGTTGTATATTTGTCCTCTGTGTGTTTTTTTTTTTGCACATGTCAGGACCCCAGTCTGCTGGATGGGAGGGTGAATCTTCGCCAGGTCAAAGCTGGATCTGTTGTAGGCCACCAGGGAGACCAGGTCAGTTTAATGACAACGGACAAGAATCCTCATCCTCCTCTTGCTCCTCCTTGTGCTTCTTCTCCTTCGTCTCCTTCGGTTTCTTCTTCTTTTGCTTGCTTTGGATTACCAATGATTATTGTAATTGGAGCAAAGTAATATTCTTACATTTAACTGGATATTAGTCTCAGTAGCTCAGTTTAATAAAACAAATGCAGGTCTTAAAGGTTCTCTGTCACATCTGTTTTCTTTCTTTTCTTGACGTTTACTGTTCCTCGTTTAATCAGGGTACTTGTGGATATTAAAAACTGGGCTGATCAAACACATCAGCTGATACTGATTTAAGAATGTGTTGCTCAGTTTTAAAGAGGATATGTTTTAAACCATGGGAGAGTTAGCAGAAACAAATGAGCATCAGGCTGCTGAAACTGCAGGAAAATCCAGCACTATCACCTTTTTGGTTTCATGCCACTGACTGGTGAAAAGTCACAAGACCTCATTTTCTTCTCTACATGTTTTTCAGGACGTGAGTGTGGCCTTTGTCATCTCAGGGCTGCTCCATGTCTATCAGCGTATGATAGACCGCGAAGAGGAGACCCTGCTTTTTGTTACTCACCCCGGGGAATTGGTGGGTCACCTGGCTGTCCTCACAGGGGAACCCCTCATCTTCACAGTGCGAGCGCACCGAGACTGCACCTACCTCTCCATTTCCAAGGCCCATTTCTATGAGTATGGCCGAGCACATACACAAGCAGTCAGCTGTTTGCTTGCCTCAGTGTCACAGCCAGGCTTCAAATACATCTTAATTTTAAACTTTGCAGGATTATGCGCGAGGAGCCCAGGGTGGTGCTGAATGTGGCTCACACTGTGGTGAAGAGGATGTCGCCATTTGTTAGACAGATCGACTTTGCCCTGGACTGGATGGCTGTGGAGGCTGGGCGTGCCGTCTACAGGTACTTTTACTAAAACTGTTAATGTGCAGGCAACATAAACTGCAATTACTTTCGATTCAAAAAACTTCCTTAATCTATGGAAACACTTTTAAGTTTAATTATTAATTGTGATGGAGTCAAAACACCTAAAAATTTGCCTTCACATTCCCATTCAGTCCACTTGCACTTGTCCATCTGCAGTGTGCGCTAAATGTCATCCAGTGTAAACAAAGCAGCCAATGAAGTTGAATTTCATTTTGAGAAATAGAGCATGAATTTCCATGATGTTCTCACATGCAAGGTGTCATAACAGCTCTGAGAATAGCAGCAGAACTAAAAGCAGATGACTATGAAGTGGGAACTTTAAGTGGGAACTTTATGATCACAGCTTATAAATGTGTGATTTATATTGATTGACTTTTTTTCTTACATGATTGCCTGTTTGCTTTTAGACAGGGAGACAAGTCAGACAGCACCTTCATCGTCCTCAGTGGCCGACTGCGCTCTGTCATTGCAAAGGATGATGGGAAAAAAGAGCTTGCCGGGGAGTATGGCCGCGGAGATCTAATTGGTGTGGTGAGTTGTTAGAATTGTGACCTCCTGTTTAAGTTTGAGAGAAAGTTTTAGAAAAAACGAAAGACGTGGAAAAACAATATTTTGTACCATAACATCTCTTTCATGATTGAACAGGTTGAGGCCCTGACCCACATGAACCGAGCCACCACAGTCCATGCTGTTAGGGACTCAGAGCTGGCCAAGCTCCCTGAAGGAGCTCTGAACTCGATCAAGAGGAGATATCCCCAGGTTGTCACTAGGCTGATTCATCTGCTGGGGCAGAAGATTCTGGGCAACATGCAACAGGTCACTGGACCCCTGGCTGGTAATCTTTTACTGTTTTTATTTTGTGTGTTTTGTGGTTTAGGTCCACTTAGACAAGGTTCACTGTAAAACAGTACAAAGTTGTCCTGACTGATCCCTTTATTCTACAGAGGTGAAACAGTAGAGTTACAAAGGAATCAGTGCTGAGGTGAACTGATCGATCTTTTTACTGTTTCTCCTCTTTGACTTTCAACTATCAAACATCAGAAATTTGTGGTGTAGGTGGTCGTGGGTGGAGTTTTAAGTCTTGATTATAAATTTTTAGATACATTTTTGGAGAATATTGGCTTTGACCATTAAATTTCTTTGCTGTGGCATCAGTTTGCATAGTGTGTGAGTGTGTCTGAGAATTGTGCTAGCCTGTGTCACATGCTAGAAGCATGAGCGTTTGAAACCCTGGAATTCATATTGGAAACACTATGAACAATGTACAGAAGATTATATTGCATATGTGAAATATCTAATGGCAGAAACTCTTCAGCTCGTAGTTTAGGTCTCCACACGCCTACCAGCAAGTGGGATGCTGGCAACCCAGTCTCCAACCTGTCCACTGTGGCCATCCTGCCTGTGTCCGAGGAGGTTCCACTCACTGCATTCACTCTGGAGCTACAGCATGCGCTCTGTGGCATTGGTACACAAACACACACACACACACACACACACACACACACACACACACACACACACACACACACACACACACACCATTAAAACAGATGAAGGGAGTACTGATTATTCCAGTATTACTGATGTGGGATACTATTAGCTATTAAAAAGGGGGGCATACTGTTAAGTTTAAACGACTTAATGCAAGTCTTTCTACAGGTCCCACTTTACTCCTGACCAGTGACAACATAAAACAGCGCCTGGGTTCTGCTGCTCTGGACAGGTAGATCACGGAAATAAATACAGCTGTAGTTGAAATTGACTTCTGCAGTTTTTCATAGGTTGATCTAACTTTAATGCAGTGACATGCTTCTACCTCATCTCTACCTCAAGTGTCCACGAGTACCGCCTGTCCAGTTGGCTTGGCCAGCAGGAAGACATCCATCGCATCGTCCTCTACCAGTCTGATCCCAGCCTCACACCATGGACCCAGCGCTGCATCCGCCAGGCTGACTGCATCATCATTGTGGGACTGGGTGAGCAGGAGCCCACAGTGGGCGAGGTCAGTGTAAATATTACCTTATTTTGTAGAGTTTGAGAAGAATGTGAGTTAAAGCTGCAGGAGATGTTACTATTCCACAGCCAGCCAATTACAACAGCTTTTCATTTGCTTTTCTTTCCAAGCTCCTTAGATAATGCTTGTGTTGAATTTCAAGAGAAATCAGAGGGAAATTCTTTATTTGGGAAACATCTCCTGGATACATAGATACCATATAGAAGTTGTAGAAACCACATCTGTTTGTGACACTTAAATACAAGTCTGCGTTAAAGGTGTTTATTGCATTCATAACGACCTGAGTGAAAGCTCTCTGCTCATGTTCTGCATGTGTAGTTGGAGCGAATGTTGGAGAGTAGTGCAGTCCGAGCCCAGAAGCAACTCGTGCTGCTTCACAGAGAGGACGGCCCACCGCCCAGAGGGACGGCAGAGTGGCTCAACATGCGAAGCTGGATCTCCAGACACCATCATCTGTGTTGCCCCCGCAGGGTGTTCTCCAGGAGGAGTTTACCCAAGCTGGTACAGACTACAGAGTCTTCACTAACCACTGACCTGGTTAGCAAATGCCTACATCTCTTTTCTGTGTCTGTGACTGCTTTTTTCAGAGGGAGTTATACCAGCGTGTGTTTGAAAAATGTCCAGATCGTCATTCTGACTTCTCCCGCCTGGCCAGGATCTTGACCGGAAACAGTATCGCCCTGGTGCTAGGTGGAGGGGGCGCAAGGTAGTTCTGCTGCTTGGGAACATATTTATTGATTAACCACTTAAAAAGGCTTTGTTCAGCTAACTGAAGTTTTGCACTTTTGCGCTTAGATCCGTGAAAATATAAATGTCTAAATTAGTGCCAGCCGCTGGTCTCAACCTCTTGCTTACAACCCCTACCCACTCTCCTTACTTCAACAAGAAAACCCCACTCACTCACAAATTCACCTGCTACATGGAAGGACACATGGCGTATGTCCACACTGCCAAAATGTTTGTTTGATGTAGCAGAAGAGGCGAATACAGAAAGATAGTGAGGAAAAAAAATCACAGTATACCGAACGTGTGGATTTATTTATTTAGTTTGCTCAGTTTTTCTTTCTTAGTTTGATTGTTTTTGCCCTAACTCATCTGATAAGTAAATGAAAATATAGACATTTGGTTAGCAAGGTGCTGATACGTTTTTACAGGTGGACATAAGACCATATTGATATTTTGTTGATTACCATATGAGCCTTCCTCAGGTTGGGAATATCTGCGCCAGAGTTTTGGGTACACCTTACTGTTACTGCTACATTAGGATTTGAATACGTCTGACGCCTGAGTTATTCTTACTGAAATATTAGATCAGCAGAACAGTTCTTTTTTTGTGTGTTTTTCTTGTTGTGTAATGACTGTTTCTTTTTTCACCGCTCTGGCTTATCCTGGAGCTCTGGCAAGGTAGGGACCTGAGACACCCGATGATCACATGACTACAGCAGTAATGCTTTTACATGTGACCTATTATTGAATCTGTAGATTCAGTCTTAGCCATAGGTATTTGCTGTGTGTCATCTATGTAAGCACTTGTGGTTACATTTAGTACTTTTACTGCATCAGTACTGGCAGTTCAACTGAACCCTGGGAACTATTTTTTCTTCCGAAATGATTTGCAAATTCTTGCACCGGTGTATTGCTAACACCCTGACAAAAATATGTTGTATATTGAAATTAATTCAACATAAGCATAGCAGTTGTTGTGAGAACAGCATTTGTAGGACACAACCAACAAGCATTTGTGATATATAATCACACGGTCTTGATGCTGATGCGAGATGAAAGTAAAAGGCATGAAAGTAACACATTTGCTTACTTAAAAATGAGCTATCCAAGTTGCTTCCTGCCAAAACTGATGAGCACTGCTATCTTTCTGGCTCCATTTAAAATGATCTGAAATATTTTTATATCAGCACTTAAACATGCCCAGTAAATTGCCAGCTGTGTCCTATTTTGGTAGCTTCACCAACATGAATGGGCAGTTTCTGCTTTATTAGCTAAAACTCGATATTTTGTGCCTATTAGTGTAAATATTTTTATATAAAGTCTAAATATGAAACTAAATAAAATATCTATTTGAGCAAGATACTATGAATATTTATAGTACATTTTATTAGTAGATTGTGTTTCCTAGCACTTTCTTTATTCTAGCTTTAGCCAAGAAGAAGCTAACAATTAATGTTTCATTAATATTTTTTATAATAAAGCTGTATTTGCAGATACATTTAAACCAGTAAGTAAAAAAACATCCACATGATAATGTAATTGTGCAGTGACACATAATACATCCTGCCTCAAAGTCTCCCATCATCACCAATTAAATATAAATTTTGTTAAATGCAATATGATTGTTTAAGGCTGCACTGTCTCCTTGGACTTTACATTCAGTCACTGCGTGCAGGACTTGGGTAGAACTCCTTGTGCACATATTGGTATATGTCTCAAAAGGAAAAGATATCGTCTAAATGAATGTGTTTCAGAGGCTGCTCTCAGGTGGGCATCCTGCGGGCACTCAACGAGGCGGGGATCCCTGTGGACATGGTGGGTGGCACCTCCATTGGCTCGTTCATGGGAGCACTGTATGCTGAGGAGAAGAGCATCAGTCGAATGAGGGTCCGGGCACACGAGTGGGCCATGGTGTGTGGATGACACACTCTGTTGACACCTGGACTGATATTTTTAAAGAGTTTCACCTCCCTGAAGTTTCACTAGTTTCACTTCCAGATTTCTTTAGACCCAAGTGAAAAGCTGAATTGTTCTTTATCAACCATGGTGTGTTTTTCTTCACTTCCCTTTTTTAAAACTTTCTTCTTCAGGGTATGACTTCATACTTTAAGAAGATCTTGGATCTGACATACCCAGTTACCTCCATGTTTTCTGGAGCCTCCTTCAACTCCAGCATTAGCTCAGTCTTCAAGAACAAACAGATAGAGGTAAGGAGAGGAGCGTTTCAAACACCAGCAGCTTGCATCATGTGCATGTAACACATTTCTTGCAAAGTCACAGCTCATGTGCCTTTCTGTGTTGTGTTTTTTTTTCTGTTTCCAACCTCTCCACTGCCAGGACCTGTGGTTACCGTATTTCAACATTACAACAGATATCACAGCTTCCGCTATGAGAGTTCATACTGACGGTGTGGGAAACCTCGTTTTTCCTCTAGTACTAGAAGCACTCTGACCATTTAAGGAGCTCCACTCTTTCCTCAGCTCTTTAAGAAGGAGCTGAGGAAAAAGAAGGGAAAATATTAATTTAATTGTGAGATGTTTTGTACTTAACCTAATCATTCATTTGTGGACAGTGTTTTCACACACTTCATACTTGTGACTGTACGATTGTCCTACATGATTAGGTTCGTTGTGGCGGTATGTCCGGGCCAGCATGTCTCTGTCAGGTTACCTGCCACCGCTTTGTGATCCCAAAGATGGACATCTGCTCATGGATGGAGGTTACATCAACAACCTACCTGGTGAGAAACACTGAGAGGGTAGTAAGCTTTTCTACTCGCGCTGTGTACGAGTTGAAGTAAACTGGGGTGATCGCTGTTTGACTCACAAGAATAGGTAAAGGTAAAGGATCCACACTAATAATAACAGAGAAAACCCTTAAAAGTCAGACAGTCTCTATGAGCAAGCACTTGGTGACAGTGGGAAGGAAAAACTCCCTTTTTAACAGGAAGAAACCTCACATCAGAACATTAGGCTCAGGGAGGGGCGGGCATCAGTCAGACCAGTTGGGGGTGAGAGGAGGGAGACAGGACAAAAGACACTCTGTGGGGGAGAGCCAGAGATTATTAATAACTAACAATTAAATGAAAAGTGGTGTGTAAACACATAGTGAGGGGAAAAACAGTGAGAGAAGAAGAAGCCCTCTGTGCATCATGGGAAGCCCCTAGCAGCCTAAACCTGTTGCAGCATAACCTTGAATCCATAAGGAAGGATTAAAGGTCACCTGATCTACCCTTAACTATGAGCTTTATCAAACCCCTCTCCCCAAAAAACAACATCTTGAATGACTTAATTTACATTCATAGTAAACATGACCAAACTTTCTAATAATGAGATCAGCATATGATTTCTGTAAACATGTTTATCATATTGTTAGATCGGTATGATGCCTCTGAGCACAGACAGCCTTAACATCTGAAACACACAGCCCTGTTTGTGAGCACAGAAGCCCCTCCCACTTGATGTTTCTGTCTTCCTTTTATGAACAACAGCTGACTGGAAGAAAGCTGACTTCGAGAGAGAAGAGCTAAAAGTGCTTATTTCATAGTGAGGATGGTCATTCAGAATATATAAGCAGTCATTAAAATATGGCTATGATGCAAGCAGATGCAGACCACCGTTTAACAACAGATATTAAGAAGACGAAAGTGGGGTGTCGTGAGACAGCATGCTTATCTGCAAACTGCAGAGATGTGCAAAGCCAAAGAAAGTAATATTAGCTTATCAGTGGGCGTATATGATTGGCAGATACACAAAGAAGAATAGAAACAAACATTTTTGACTATATTTATTAGCTGAAAGAGGAAACTGGTTATCAGAATGTGTCTCTCATGATATCTAGCTGACGTGGCTCGCTCCATGGGTGCCAAGGTTGTGATCGCAATCGATGTTGGAAGTCGAGATGAAACCAATCTGACCAACTACGGTGATTATCTGAATGGCTGGTGGTTGCTGTGGAAGAGGTTCAATCCACTGGCTGAGAAAGTCAAGGTGCTTTGATTTTACCACAGCCTGACGTCAACTGTGGGCAGAATGATGGCCACTAAACACTCTTTGTTCTGCCATCATAGCCCTGTCAGACTTAACAACCTTTCCCTCCAGGTCCTGAACATGGCAGAGATCCAAACACGGCTTGCTTACGTCTGCTGCGTGCGGCAGCTGGAGCTGGTCAAAGACAGCGACTACTGCGAGTACATCCGACCGCCTATCGACCGCTACGGCACACTGGAGTTTGGCAAGTTCGATGAGATTGCTGTGAGCTTCTCCTCTCTTCCTCCATGTTTTATTTAATTCTATTTAATCTGCTGGCCCACAAACTCACTGAGAGGTTCACTATCTGCAGGAGGTGGGGTACCAGCATGGGAAGACACTGTTTGATGTGTGGCAGCGCAGCGGTGTGGTGGACAGTATGCTTAAGGACCGACATCAGGAGGAGTTTCACAAGACCAAAACTGGTCACGTGAGTGTAAATAACAATACAAATAGATTGTTCAGCTGCGATCAAGTTCGACTCTTGTTCTTACTCTTGTTATATAAGTTTGTGTCAGATACACAGGTAACCTAACCAGGGCCCTCTACTATAAAACAGCAGCTCACCACATTTATGACTGTAACGTTTAATAGTCCATCATAACTTACTGCATGCAGATTGACAGACGTTAAATGTTTTCTCCTGTAAAGCAATTTTAATCGTATGTTTTCAGAGACTGTTAAACCCTACCTATGATATCAGAGGTTTAATGGTGATCCTTTTCCCTTCATCCATCCATTTTTTTTAACTCTTTATCCAATTCATAGTCACGAGTGGGGCTGGAGCCTGTCACAGCTGTCACAGGGTAAAAAGCCTGTGTTGGACTAACAGGTCAATAGTCCATCATTGGAGAGAGGCAACCATTCATGTTGACATTCAAACCTTCAGTCACTCAAGCTACTTGTTAATCACCAACTCATGCGGCTAAAGTAAAACAGTTTCTCTCTTTCAGAAACTTTTAGAAACTCAGTTTGAGCACTTTTTGAAGCACTTTGTTGTTTGGCTCCAGCAGAGGGACAAAATAAAAAACTTTAAAGGTCTTTAATCCTTTAAGCCCTGAGCTGCGTGTCATCTTTAAAACTCTGGATCTGAGTTGTTATATTGTTCTACTGCATTATTTTATTCACTGTTCATAGCTCATTAATTATTTATTGTGTTTTATTCAGCATTACTATTTAATTTTCTATTTGTGAATATTTATTTACATATGCATTTATTTTTAAATTGCTCATAATTACATTTTAGTGTATCTATAGACTAAAGTGAATGGTTATTTGCTTATATTATTTGTTTTGGTGTTTGGCTGTCGAGTACTATAGTCTGCAGTCACAGACAGTATGAATCCAGTGAAGGTGGTCTTAAAGTCTTCGCTGGAATGATGAGCTCTGTCTTTCAGGTGGTCACATGTCCAAATGCCTCCTTCACTGACCTGGCAGAGATTGTGTCGAGAATTGAACCCGTCAAGAATGCTTTAATCGAGGGTTAGTAAAATCTAAACTAGAAATCTGATTTCTTACATGAACAACGCATATTACAATCCATACTATAATTTATTATTTTAGCTTCTTTTTATCTGCTCTTCATTTAAAAGCCTGATCAATGAAAGGTTCTCCTGCCGTCTCTGATTTTGTCCGCCTAGAGGAACTCTCTGATGAGTACCAGACAGACTACGATGAAGAGGCCGTAGAAAGTGCACTGTCTGACTATGAGGCGTTCACCCCCGGTAGTGAGCACACAGAGGAGGAGGAAGAGACGGCAGATACTGCTGAAACTGTGTGTATTAAATCAAGCTTTACATGAACTTTGTCAATATTTGGCTTGTTTGGACCTCCAAAACACTCAAAAATTAGAAAAATAAAAAGTTACATGTAAAAAAATCTTTTAACAGGATGAAGACGTTCCAGTCAGAGTTCGGCGCCGATTGAAGAACCCCCTGCAAAGTGCTCCTCTGTGATTTCTTGTCAGGTGTGCTATGACTGGAGCACAGTGCTCACTCTCCAGTGCAGTGTTGGCTATGGTCCAGTGAGCAGCGACATAACACGCTTACTGAACACTTCAGTAAGGTACAGTCGATGCTGCCTTCAGACAGTCACAAGTTGCTGTCGTGGTCTCCTTTGGGCTGATGCGATGCTCTCCTACTGTCGGAGCACCTGTAAAGTTAGGCAGTTTGGCAGAATAGAAGTTTTAATAATGAAATGAATACATCTTAAAAAAACAAGAAACAGTGTGTTTTGTTTTAGCTTGTTTTATCGTCACACACTCTGACAGTGTAAAACCTAATACTTGATAAACACCGAGCCCTTTCTGGGACAGTTCTCTTTCGCCTTGCTGCTTCCGGCCGTGATGTTCTGATCCATACAGTCCTATACAGTATTCTGTTTTATACACATTCAAGTTAAAAACTGTTATGTCGTTACAGAACACTTCAAGTACAGTGTTACCCTCGTTTCCATCCAATAATAAAGGGATTTCTCCTCTTTAAGAACAGTCCGCACACACACACATGTGCCAAATGCATTCTTAACAGTGGCTGTAATAAGCTCTTTCAGACAGTGTGTGCATCAATCACATGTTGAATGTATGTTTTTTTACATGAAGGATTACAAATGTGTCTGTCTCCTTTCAGCTTGTGTTCCAGTTTCTGTCTAACTTGAATGCATAATTCAAAGTAGCTGATGATTGAATATATCATTAATGTAGCTATAGATGGTTCTGATCAACAATATCCTCACATGTCATGGCATTAAAGTTGGAAGTATTAATGATGACTGTATTCTACTTAAGGGAGGTGCTTTCACAGATTCACTGTCACAGGAATCCCCTGGTTGGTGCTAGGTGGGATAAGGCTGTGGGCTGCTCTGCTCTGCCATCACTGATAAAGTACGTTGTTGATAGACACATGTATTTGTGTTACACTCCATGCGAGTTAACATGAAGGGCACAAATTGGAGGAGTGGCTGTGTTGTGAAAGCCCTGGTGTGACACGGGTGTACAACAGACTACAAAGTAACACTGTCACTGCTTGTAAAATCCTATTGAGAAAAATCCTCACATCACAACTTCCCACTGTATATGCACATGGAATTTTTTTATACTCTCTCACATAGTGTGTCTCTCATCAAGTTTATTATCAGTTCCAATTTTCAAAAAGAACCCCCTTAGTGTGCCAACCAAACATGTGTTTGACTATTCCAGTTTTTTTTAAAGCCATCCCACCACATTTCAGAGAAACACTGCACTTTTTAATTACTTAAAAAAAACTTTTTTGTAGCAAAACTATATTTTTGATATTTATCTGACAGCATAAGGTCATTACTTTCATTCTTTCTTATTTTTATAAAAACTGTTGCAGTTTTGAAAGCTTTCGGGTATCTGTTAGAAAAAGCAAATATATTGAGGGTGGTGACTGTGAGCTCTGAGACTATATTCAGAGTTTTATTAATCCATCTCTTTTTTGGTGGGCACAGACACTGAGATTTGTTTGTTCAATCAGTGCTGTGAAAGCACTGATTCTGTGAAACAACTTAGTTTACTTCCTCCTCCTTTTAGGCACCTTTCTTCTGATTGGCTGCCCCTCTTGCTTGCATTTGGAGCAGTCTGAATCCTGAGCTTTTGGCTTAGGAATTACTTGTACATACAGTAAACCATTTGAACTTTGGACATGCCTAATATGAAAATCAGCCATTGTGACAGTATGAAACTCACCCACGTTTATGTTGGGTAATTATGGTGCAACATTTGTAACTCTGCAGAGTGTCATCAGTTCCTGAATCACAGCAGAAGAGAACATGCCCATGGCTGATCCAGTCTAGCACCAACCACGCCTAATGGATCATTATTATTCCTCCTGTGCTTTCCATTTCAGAATGGTGTCTTAAAGAAGCACTATGTCTCATATTCTGTTAGTTCATAATACATAAATATTACTAAAATACTAATGGTAAAATGATCTAAATCTTAAAAACAAGAATCTAATTTTTCTAACCAAGTATACAGCACACCATTTACCTTGTTGTGGCAGGGAAAACACAGATGTAGCTACTATCACTAACAGTGACCATGAGACAGCCGAGTTAAATTGGATGAAGAGAACATTGATGCTATTCAGAACAGGTGTTCTTCAGTATGACTGTGCAGGTCAATGCAACTGTGCCATTAAAGGGCCTTACCTTTTTTATGCCTCCTGTCTTTACACCAACCAAACTTCAATTTTAAGGCCTGGAGTAAATGAGTTTTACTATGTAGTTTGTCATGCAGTTGCAAGCAGCACTACCTGCCCTGTCTGGGAAATGAGTACCTAACATTAGCCCTGCACTATAATGGATCATTATGCAGTTTAGAGCCAAGTTTTTAATCACTGTGGTTTATTATGTGGTGTATTAATATTTCATATCAACTGACTGTCCAAGTTTTACAAGAAAACAAAAGTTAAAGTTCCATAGAGGGAATAGTTACCATGACATTGCATGTGAATAACTGAAATCTTTGTTTTCCATTTGTTGTGATGTTTCATCCTTAAACAGAATTATGGAGAGTGATTTTGAATGTTAAATCGTCAATACACTGTGTGTGTTTATTTCTTTAATCCGTGGCCTGTCTGAACGCCAAAATGATGCGATGCTGCATAAGTCTGCAGATAAAATGTTGTTACTATCTCCAAAATAAAACTGGAAATATATGCTTTTTTCAGATGGTTATTGGTTCACACGACAAACTTATAAACTATAGAATTGTGTAGGCCTTCAACTTGCAGAGTTTCATCATATCAGAGAGCTGAAAATTTTGTTTCAACTCAGTTCAGTTTTTTATTTATCTCAGGTATTGTGTCTTTAGGATATGATGGGGCCTGATTATTCAAAACCTTTTATGTGAGGAACAGGCTTTTAAAAGCATTTCTGGATTCAACAGGGAACCTATGAAGAGAAGCCAATATGAGAGAGACATTTTTATCTCTAGTCTCTGTTGCTATTCTCACAGTGGCGTTTTGGATTAGAGTAAGTATCCTGTTACTCGCCAATTTATTTAGACTTTTTGGGCCAACTACAAAAACTCAGTTTTGCCCAAATTTAGCCGTAGAAGAAAAAAAAAGATCATCCACCTATATCCTAAAGTCATCATATAGCTTAATAGATGAATGTAAGTGGATATTATCATGTAAAGTCACAAACTCTTCAAACTTTATAGTAGGCATTGAGCACACTTTATGCACCAAACTGAGGATCTAACTAATGTCTGCAGATAAGGGGAAGCTATAAATAGATGTCAAAGTTTCCATGCCTGGGGAGTGTGACTGAGAAATGGGAGTTGCAACAAGTTTGGCAAGAGCAAGAAAAGATTCTCATCTATAAATCTGCTGACGGGGGCATATAGAAATCCTAAAGTTACCATGTGATTATTCAGCTTTAGAGGGGAAGGGAAGTGGGAGTGTGAATGATTTGCATCTTCAGCAGAAGATGCCTCACCAACAGCTCTAAACTTGTTTGTAGATGTGACAAAGTGGCTCACTTCCTGGTGCTTGCACTGACCATTGTTTTCAGTCATGAACTCAACTACAAAACAAAAGGAAGAAAAATCATCAGAAAAAAAACTTGTTTGTTGTGTTGGAATCTAAGCAAAACACAACCACAGAGAAACATACAAATGTCAGGCAATTTCTTGCTAATAATCTGAATAATGTCACAAAAACAGATGGAAGCACTGCATGGCTCTGATGCTCTTCACTGAGGCAGGTAGAAAATGTAAAATTTAGCTTCGTGTTATGTAGTATATTATGACTTTTTGACATATTTGGGGTTTATGTTTTATTTTAGGTCTCCTTATGGGTTGTATACCTTGACTCGGGTGCTGGTAGAAGGCCCACGGCTGATATTTCATTCTGCCTAACCCTGATGAAGACAGAGTTGATACACAGTTGTCTTTTTTTAATGCTAACTTCAACTTTTATCAGAGACTGAGTGCCTCGCTTGTTTTCTGTTATTTGATTTTAATATGTTTCTCTTGAGTGTATCCAAAGGTGTTATGGAGATATCATCCATGAGCAAAAATGTTGTTTTAAGCTCATTTTATCCTGATTCTATGAGTTTGAGAAGTTAGACTTGTAAGAAAAAATTGGATTGCTTCTCCAACACAATACAGTATAAATGGACACACAGGACACCAGCCAGAACATTTCATCCTGCACAGAATGATGAGTAGGCTGCATGCTGTGTTTGGATCTAAGATGATAAGTCAGCGGAACTGAGAACGGTAAACATGTAAATTCCTGTGGAAGCAGTGATGTAAGTAATAAAACAAGCAGCTTGCAAACTCAGAAGTGAAACTGTTTTGTGATAGAATACTAATATACCTCGTTAGAAACTTGGAAAAGAGTGATCAGGAATCAAAGGTTAATGTGGTTTAGATTAAAGTGCTGAAAGCAGCTAGCTACAGCTGAATCCATAATTTGTTGAACGTACCACCAACAAACCATCAAGATATGATAGAACTGCAGACTTCAGCTTTAATTCAAGTGATTTTACAAAGCGATTTTAGCTGGAAATGATTTAGAACCTCAGAGGCTCCAAAGTAATTAGACAATTGAGTGACGAGATGTTTCATGGCCAGGTGAGGCCTGTTCCCTTGTTACTTGATTACCAATGAAGCATCTGTCACATATCTGCTATCTAATATCTGCAGCTGATTCAAAGTGTTGAATTTGTATGTTATAGCTTTTCACTGTAATCTTAAATATAAGAATAAAAGAGATGCAGTGGAAGTGAAGGAGGCTGTTGTTAAGTTGAACAACTAAAATACATCTATCAGCAACAATCTGATACATGCATGAAAACAGGATTATATCCATGGTTCAGAAAAATAGCTTCACAATATTTAACCAAATCAAAAAGACTTTCAGACTTTCATGTATACAATCAAGAGATGCATTGATGAATGGAGGTACAGAGAGTTTAAACAAGGTGCAACTTGAACTTGCCCAGGGAAAAGTGTGGCGACAGGAAGAAGCAGCTTATAATCCAAAACAAACCACATTATAACAGAGTGCAAGTCGACAACGTCCCGAAGCATGCTGCAAAAACAATTCTTAATTTCTCAGTTTATTCTTTATTGGCCAAGTCAGTTGTCATCTCAACTCGGCAGAGCTGCTTTTCAGTAAGTGAAAATAGACCCACAAACCCACAAACAAGAAACAACTGAAAGCAGCTGCAGTAAATGCTTCATTTCCTCGTCGGAGGAAATGAAGCATTTGGTGATGTGCAGTCTTAGACTTCAGGCAGACACTGGGTGCAATTTTCAAGAATTAAAAATAGTTTTTATATTTAAAATTCTGTTATTTTGTCTGAGGGATGACTCAATGTAAATAATTCTTAAACAGTTGATCAAGTTAAATACAGTATTTGGTTTTTGTTTACTAATGCTAAAGGAATGCTCACTATTGTTATAGCTATAATTGGATTTTTATGAGGGCGTTAATTCCCACTCCAGCCCACTCTACACACAAAACAAATTTTAACAAAGGTGAAAATGTTATTTATCTGAGTAAGAAGGTAACTGGAACATGAAATCTGGTGGTCTAAAACTGTCCCTTTCCACTGAAGGTTGCCAAATACTTGTTTGGTAGGGTGTTGGTCTTTACTTTACAATATTAAATGCTTTGAGTTGAATGCTGTTGTGATTTGGTGATATAAAAACTGAACTGAATTGAATTAGTAGTCTTATTCCAAAAGTAACTGCTGCTAGAAGTGGAGAAAAATTCATTTTGAAGTGAACAAAGGGGGTCTGAACCTGAATGACAATTCATCCAACAGAGTTCAAAATGAAAAACTAAGCACTACTGAAGAGACCCTCGCTGGTGCCTGAAGAGAAGCAAAATGATCAAAGGCATTTCAGTCTAAACAAAAACGGTGTCTTGGTTTTACTATAGCTAAAAACTACAAACCAGGTGCATTAGGAGGCCCCTTTTTAAAGTACATTAGTTGTTTTACTCTTAAATCCCCATTTGTGGTTGCACAGTTCCTCTTAATGGTGATGGCTAAGCTCCCCCTCCTGAATGTCACTGTTCCTGCTCCCACACAACAATGCTGTGAAGTTCATCACAGGCTTCCAAGTAATGATAAGGTAAACTTTGAATGACTTTGGCCTATATCATTAATGCATCGCTGTATTTTAGTCTACAGCTGCCCTAGTTGAGGGATTTGCCCAGTAGGCCACCGGGAAGGTGTGGTTTAGTTTCACCCTGAAAGTGAACCAGTGCTCAGTCAGCCTTACTCTGTTTGTACTATGCTTCAGTTTGCTCGTGCGTATTGATCTGTGGCACACTGGCTGTATGTGCAGCAGAGTGTTGGGGGAAAACTCTGTAAAAAACCCAGGAGAAATAAAGACACAATGAGACAAAGTTACTTTCTTTGCTAAACGTGTACACGGGTGAGCTGCTGAGAACAACTCACGTCGTGAACAGAGGCTTGGCACTTTTTATAGGAAAGACAGTGAGAACAGGATAAGAAAATAATAAACAGATAAAATAAACAACTCCATATGTGGCGCTAGTCTTGTCAGCAGAGAGCTGGGAGAAAGCTGTGAGAGATAAAACAATCTAAAACAATATGTCCCAAAACAATATGTCTTTGCTGGGAAAGTCTAAAAGGATAATTCTAAACTAATCTAACCATAGACAAGGGGCATCTTTGTACATTTAAAAGAAGGTAAAGAAACATAGAATCATTTTTCCTGTAACACAGAGATGGGGACTAAAACTGTGTCTTTATTTCAACCCTGGCACACTGGTAATAAGATGAAATAAAAATGGATGATCTGATTGTGAGTCAGGAAATGACGATACTACTAAAACAAGTGTTGAAGAAACTGAATGCTTGCCTCTGATGTGTCGAGGTTTTTCATTAGCTGACAGTAGTCCTGAGAACATCTGGACATCCTGCCGTGGGCTCAGATTTTAAGAATTTTAAAAACATTTTCAGTGTTTTTGTGTCACCTATTATACAGAAAATGTTCTTTGTTCTTTCTCCATTCCTGTTGTTGCCATAACAAGCAACAATCTCAGGTGTTAAAAGTGACTGTGTGGCAGGGTGTGGTCTGTGGCGCAGCTGCAGGGGAGGGGTGGAACAGCGGGTTCAGGGCGTAATGTCAGGGGAGGCTAGTTGTCAGGTTATATATAACATTAGGAATGAAACAGGCTAGAAGAGGAGCCTGGTATCAGGAGACCGTTTAAATGAAATTTTGAGTATATAAAATAACAACAGAATGAACTGATTCTGAGGGATCAGGTGAGAGCTGTTTCACATTTGATTGTTTTTACTTGGAAATACCCATGAATGTAAATATTCCCTACGAGCAAAACTTTGGTAGGGAGGCAGGGGTTCCTTTAAACATGGAGGGATTTTCCAACAAAATCAGGCTCAGGAGAGGGCAGGCATTTATTATAAATGATAAATGTTTGGAAGGTGGGGGAGAAAGAGAAAACCTCAATAATCAGACAACTCCATGTAGGCAAGCACTTTGGCAACTGTGGCAAAGAAAAACTCCTTTTAAACAGGAAGAAATGGCCATCAGAAACAGGCTCAGGGAAGGGCAGCCATCTGAGAAATAGTAGCTAATGATTAAATGCAGAGTGGCGGCCTTTGATAAAGAAAGTAACACTCTGCAACACGACTAAATGAAACCAGGACT